AAAAATAACACTGGACTGGGGTCTTCTCCCAGTATTTATTTTCCAAGGCGGGAGGTTACAGAAAAGGAACATAGGCGGAGTTATGGCTAAGTGTAGTTTAACAATAGAAGCTGGTAATATCAGTGAAATAACAAAGTGACATTCCATAATGCAATTTGCAAAAGGTTAAGTCAATCTACCAACAAAAGCTTGTTCTTAGCAAATACTGTCTTTTCCTACAGCAATTTCCTTAGTATTTTTACATAACAATCAAGTAACTTTAGGTTAACCTGCACCAAGGATGTCTGTCCTTGAACCAGCAATTTTGCTGTGTTGCAATTCTTTATCTACAACAGAGACTTTAGCCTGGGAAAAGTTTCCTGTCTTTTGCAAGCTTAACATTTCTATATGTAATTTTAAAAGTTAGGTTATACCTGAAACTACAGGGCTTTGGAAGCTAAGCCCTGTGAAATACATTTGCCTTATAAATGTTAGTGTATTCCACAGGGACTCAAGGGCTGGAGCATCTTGGGCAGGCCTAGTTACAAATCCAGCTGTTTTGAAAGGCACCTCTGGGGGCCAGCCGTGGCTCACTCAGGAGAGTGTGGTGCTGGTAAAGGCACCTCTGGGCAACTTTGTGTTTCACCTGAGCCCCTCTTTTCCTCCCACACTGTTGACCTTGTAGATGCTGAAAACATAACATCTCAGGCTTGGAAAGAACCTTGAATGACATAGGGCTGGCCTCTGTGTGAACACTTAGGCCAGGGAGCTCACTGTTTCTCGAGGCAGCTCATTCCACTGACAGCCGATTCAAGTGAATAGAATGTTGCCTCTTACTGTGATTTTTAAATCTTACACTCTGCGGCTTCCAGCCATGAATCCTAGCTCTGCCCTTTCAAGACATACAAAACAAGTTCACATATTTTTTTCACCACACGCAGCTATCAGATCCTCCTAAGTTTTCTTTGCTCAGGGCAAACACCTGGAATACTCCAGCCATTTCTCTAAGCTGTCACCAGCCGGGTGCCTCTTATCTGGGTATGTGCGAGGTCTCTGAGGTCCCTTGTATGGTTGCCCACCAGAACTGCTGAGCACTCTCTGAAAGTGGAGGGCATGCACTTCTCCAAGGGCCCCATGTCATAGATCCAGCCTTGGAGCTCACTGGCTGGTGGGACAGCTTCAGCCCACTCTTAACACGTGTCTCCACTGTCAACCCAAATGCTAGCTTAAACAAAAAATAGTGCTAAAACACAGATAACTTAAAATTCACCATATTAACTACTGTGTGACTTATATATATATATATTTTTTGCAGCTGGCCGGTGTGGGGATCTGAACTTTTGACTTTGGTGTTATCACTACCCAACTCTCCCAAGTGAGCTATCTGGCAAGCCCCCCAGTGGCATTAAGTACAGTCATATTTTGTGCTACTGTCTTCACCATCCATGTCCAGAGCTCCTTGCATCTTGTGAAAGTGGAAGTGTGATTAGCAATCGCTCCCATTTCCTGCTCTCCCCAGCCCCTGGCATCCACCCTTCCTCTGCTGTTTTTTTATAAATTTGATTATTCTAGGAACCTCGTGTAAGTGGAATCATACAGTATTTGTCCTTTGTGACTGTTTATTTCTCTTAGCATCGTGCCCTTAAGGTTCATCTGTATGTAGCATGTGTCAGAATTTCCTTCCTTTCTAAGACTGAATACGACTCAACTGTATGGTTATACCACATTTTGTTTATCTGTCCATCTGCGGATGGATACTTGGTCACTCCCACCTTTTGGCAGTTGTGTATAATGCTGCTATGAACATGGGTGTACAAGTATCTGTTCAAGTCCCTGCATCCAATTCTTTTGGGATAGACACCCAGAAGTGGTATTACAAATGCTAACTTTCCATATTTGTTGCTGTTGACTGGATTTCCCCAATGCTGTATTTGCAAATTTCACTTTTTGATCCCAAGTGAGTTATAGACTTATACAACTACGTTCTTTGCAAGTTGTTCTCATCATCGCTACTGATTGAGATCATTAAGACCATGTATACCTGGGCCGACCCCGTGGCACACTCGGGAGAGTGCGGAGCTGGGAGCACAGTGGTGCTCCCGCCACGGGTTCGGATCCCATATGGGGATGGCCGGTGCGCTCACTAGTTGAGCGCGGTGCGGGCAACACCGAGTCAAGGGTTGCGATCCCCTTACCGGTTACAAAAAAAGACAAAAAAAAAAAAGATCATGTATACCTAATTACCATCCAACACAGTAGCAATCATTTACATCACCAACTGTACATCAGATTGCCATGTAAGGCTCTGTGCCAAGCCCGAGTTGTGTTTCTTATAAAGCACAGGCACCCATCCACAAATTATGTCAATGAGAGGAAAGGGATGCAGAAAGCAGCAGTGGCACTTGTAAACTGAGGGCAGCATATGATTTTTAAGTGTTTAGTATCCTTGCCCTGGTTGTAATACAGAACCGGGTGGAGTCTCAGCTGGAGTAGTGAAATATGGAGGAAATAGCAACGTCACCTGAAAAAAAACTTCTAATGATGATTTATAAAGTTGAGCACAGTTCAGATGCATGTTGTTCCAGTTATTTATTATTGTATAATAAGTTACCTCAAAGCTTAGTGGCTTAAAACAGCAACGATCTGATTATATCTCACAATTTGCCAGAGCTCAGCTGGGAGATTGTTGCATTCCAGCGAGCACAGACAGAGGTAAGTCACCTGGTGGCATTCAGCAGCTGGATGGCTGGTCTGGAGGGCTGAGGGGGCTGCACCCATGTCTGGTGTATGGGTGACAACGGCTGGAAGGCTGGACTCAGCTGGGACTGTCACCTGGACATGTGGCCTCTCCAGCATGGCCACAAGGTCATCAGATGTCTATGTGATGGCTCAGGGCTCCAAGAAAGGAGCGTTCCCATGAACAAGGTTGGAAGCTGCTGGCCTTTTATGAGCTAGCCTTGGAAATCACCCACTGCCATCTCCGATGCACTCGGTTAGTTGAAGCTGTCACAACTCCACCTAGTCTCATGGACACGGGACATAAACCCTACCTTTTGATAAGAGGGGTGTCAAGGAATCCACAACCATGTTTCAAAACTGCAATATGTGTGTGTGTATATTTGAGCATGTGCTGATATAACCACACCTGTACATGTAGTTAATCACTAGTACCCCACAAACTTTGTCATTCAAAGGGTTATGTGGTCTGGGAGAAAGAAATCACATCCCGTTGGGACATGTGAGGTGTCGTGGGTGGGGTCTGGCATTTCAGCCAAGCGAGGAAGGATGGCAACAGGTAGACAGGGAGGAAGGATTGTCCCAGGAGGAGGAACCACATGAGCAGGGACAGGGGAGAAAAGCTCCGGGAGCAAGAGGGGGAAAGCCGGGGGTGTGCTGCAGGAGGAGGTGGCCTCAGGAACAGAGGTCCTGCCACAGGTCAGNATGTGAGGTGTCGTGGGTGGGGTCTGGCATTTCAGCCAAGCGAGGAAGGATGGCAACAGGTTGACAGGGAGGAAGGATTGTCCCAGCAGGAGGAACCACATGAGCAGGGACAGGGGAGAAAAGCTCCGGGAGCAAGAGGGGGAAAACCGGGGGTGTGCTGCAGGAGGAGGTGGCCTCAGGAACAGAGGTCCTGCCACAGGTCAGGAAGAATAGGGGAGCATCCTGCAGAGAACGACAGTGCAGGATGGAGACTTGAGGAGACCTGTAGGCACAGAAGGAGAGATTCAGGTTTTTCCAGAGCAGGGCATTCGCTGATGGGGTAAGTGTTCCTGGAGGCTGAGGGCCTGAGAGTGTTGGGTTAATGACTCCACCTTGAAAATAAGGAGGTACAAAGGAAAGACATGGATTACTGATGAGATTTTAAAGTGCAACGAGGTAAAGTGGAGGGTTTCGATCTTCTAAGTAACGTAGGAACTGAGATTATTTACAGAGAGCGAAAAAAATCACTGATGCATATGTTAGATAATTTCATGAGTTTCTACAAATATACAAAATGTGACTTTTTCTAGAACTTCAGTAAAGTAGGCAAACGTTCAGCTGGGTATTGTAATAAATAATTGTACAATTCAGCTGTGTTTATTTTTGATGTTGTTCTTGATTACAAAGATAATGTGCCCACTGTAGAAAATTTTAAAAATATAAAAAAGTACAAGAAATTAAAGTCATCTATGTACTTCACGGTCACCTAAAGACTGCGAGGAGTTGCTTTATTTCTATTATGTGGTCAGTTGACTGTGGAAAGACAGCTCTATTTTACAATACAAAATGCAAATGTTTTACATATTTCAGATTTTACAGTTTTGCTTACGTTTTGGTTGTCTTCAAACACACTTTTAATGTCTATATGGCATCCATACTGTGCAGTTACCGTAACTTATCTAAAACTTCCCCTATTTTGAAATATGTAGGTTGTTACACGTACGTATGTCACACATACACATGTAGCATGTTATGTATGTACGTATATATCCATATGGTCTATGAACAGCCTTGGACATAAACCTTTTCCTCTGATTATTTTTTCTTAGGACACATCACTGAATCCGGACACAAACTTTTCAAGGCTCTTGAAACATATCCCCAAATGGCCTTTCCAGAAAGAGAGCACCGTTTTTTTACTCTCATCCGCAGCATTTTTTGAGATCTTCAACCTTAAAAAGAATCAACTCTTGGAAAAGCCCAGTTTCTTCTGGTCTCTGACACGTGGGGACATTTCTTCACCTTAAAACCTAAGGCCATGTCGCAGAGAATCGGAGCCCAGAAGCTGGACCTTTCTAAAACTCTCCTTTGTGAGGGAGGTTGGGGGACTGGGGGAGGAGACTTTTGAGATCCAAGGTGCCTTCCAGCCCCAGCTTCTGGTGCGTTCATCCCGGGCACCGGATGGCTCCACCCTCCGAGCTCATAAGACAGAGGATGGAAAGTGTTTCAGCTGATTAAGAGGACAGAGGTGGGGACGGGGAGGAGTGGGACTGGGGGGCATCGCTCAGGAGTCGTCCCCCCCCCCNCCCTGGGCATCGCGAGGGGCCGGGCGCAGAGGGCAGGAGCGCGGCGGGCGGGACGATGCTGCAGTCCCTGGCCGGCAGCGCGTGCGTGCGCCTGGTGGAGCGGCACCGCTCGGCCTGGTGCTTCGGCCTGCTGGTGCTGGGCTACCTGCTCTACCTGGTCTTCGGCGCCGTGGTCTTCTCGTCGGTGGAGCTGCCCTACGAGGACCTGCTGCGCCAGGAGCTGCGCAAGCTCAAGCGGCGCTTCCTGGCCGAGCACGAGTGCCTGGCGGAGCCGCAGCTCGAGCAGTTCCTGCGCCGGGTGCTGGAGGCCAGCAACTACGGCGTGTCGGTGCTCGGCAACGCCTCGGGCAACTGGAACTGGGACTTCACCTCCGCGCTCTTCTTCGCCAGCACCGTGCTCTCCACCACCGGTAGGCGCCCGCCCCCCGGCCCTGTCCCCTCCCCGGAGCCCCCCATCCCTGTCCGCTCCTCGTCGCCCCCGGCCCTGTCCCCTCC